GGACTTGATAAAATTTCTGGTCAAACTGTTTTTTCCTTCTCGTCAAAGCAATAATTTTATTTGAACAACTGCACATGCTAGTAAAAAAATTATAAAATAAAATGTCACACAAAATATGTGCGTCTAAAAATTTCATTAAATTCCAGTCATGGCCCTCTTCCCAAATTGTATTGCTAATCACATTCATCGCAATCCCTACAAGGATTGGTATTCAATTTTTCAAAAGAAAGTATATTAGAAAAATATAATAAAAAACTTCAGTTTGTTGAAAACTATGGAGTCCATGTTCCGTATGCAAATGTTTTTGTTTCTTCACAGTGAAGAGGTTTTGAATGACGAAACGGGTAATTTCTACAACTCCAATAAATTCCATTGTTTCTGACAATCAAATTTCAAACCATTTGGCATGCGTTGTTTTCCAGGCTCGTAGCTTTTTTTTCGAAATTTTTTAAAGTTGTTTACATTTTTTTTCAAAACTTTCATGAAGCCGGTTTTTTATAACAACTCTGAATTGCTCCAACTGATTGCAGGAAGGTGCTTTTTACACCAAGCAGATGGAGATGTTGCTTTGAATTTCTTAGGAGGAGGAAAAGCGTATGCCAAGTTTCGTCCCAAAGTAAAAACTTCTTAATTTTAAGTATTATGTTTTTTGCATAAAAAATATCAAATTCGTGACGTTGACTGGTTTCTCCGATTATTTTGTTCAAATTGACAATTAATTGAGTCATGCGTATACACTTGAAGCAAACACTTTAAGTTTTAAATGGAAAAAATCCAGTTACCTGAAAAATAAAACAAAAACTATCAATTTCATTTTAGCAACCAAATTTTCATTTTAGCATAAAATCAGGCGTTAGATTTTCTCAGCAGAAAAATTGCGCATAATTTGGTTAAGGTTCAAATTTTGCTGCAACATTGATTTTCATTTCCCATTGAATTTCATGCAAATGATGTATCAGCCAGTTGTACGTTTTTTGTTAGTTTGAGAAAAAAAATTAGTCGGAGTTGGAAAAATCAAAGAATTGGAGAGGGAAAAAAAGTCTATATAAATAGAAGAAGATGAAATGACTTAGCTCTTCTTAAAAAATGGCTACTTCGTGACACTAAAATTACAAGTCCAGCTCGACTAATTTTTCACTCAAGCTTCTAAAAACTCAAGAAAGCATATAACAATCAGAGGGACCGGTGTTATAAACTTCGTGCACCAATTCAGCGACTTCGTGTGATTTTGCATGCAAAGATTTTATTTTCGAATCATTTAAGACATTGTCCAATAGAAATTTGTTTATGCCAAAAAAAATGGTCTGAATTGTTTGAAATTTTTTCAGCTAGGAAAAAAAACAGCTGGTTTTCAGATTTTTCGGATGGATATTTTCCCTTTTGAATTAAAACTCATTGATGCTTTTCAAGTTCGTTGAAAAGTTTCGTCGTTTTTTCATATTCCTCTTTTTCCTACCACATTGCACTTTTGCTAAGTTTCGAGCCAGTGGAAGTCAAAACAACCAGAAAAAAAAACATTTCCTCAGTAATTCATCTCGGTGGTAGATATTTAGCATAAAATCAGGCGTTAGATTTTCTCAGCAGAAAAATTGCGCATAATTTGGTTAAGGTTCAAATTTTGCTGCAATATTCATTTTCATTTCCCATTGAATTTCATGCAAATGATGTATCAGCCAGTTGTACGTTTTTTGTTAGTTTGAGAAAAAAAATTAGTCGGAGTTAGAAAAATCAAAGAATTGGAGATAGAAAAAAAGTCTCTATAAATAGAAGAAGATGAAATGACTTAGCTCTTCTTAAAAAATGGCTACTTTGTGACACTAAAATTACAAGCCAAGCTCGACTAATTTTTCACTCAACCTTCTAAAAACTCAAGAAAGCATATAACAATCAGAGGGACCGGTGTTATAATATTCGTGCACTAATTCAGCGACTTCGTGTGATTTTGCATGCAAAGATTTTATTTTCGAATCATTTAAGACATTGTCCAATAGAAATTTGTCTATGCCAAAAAAATGGTCTGAATTGTTTGAAATTTTTTCAGCTAGGAAAAAAAAACAGCTGGTTTTCAGATTTTTCGGATGGATATTTTCCCTTTTGAATTAAAACTCATTGATGCTTTTCAAGTTCGTTGAAAAGTTTCGTCGTTTTTTCATATTCCTGTTTTTCCTACCACATTGCACTTTTGCTAAGTTTCGAGCCAGTGGAAGTCAAAACAACCAGAAAAAAACATTTCCTCAGTAATTCATCTCGGTGGTAGATATTTAGCTAGACCAATGGCAGTTTTCGAATTTTGAAATTTTATCGAAACAAATACGAAACGTTCATTCCAATACTTTCTCATTCATCTTGAGTCAAAGTCGGATAAGTGATTGAGTCGGTTTTCCATAATTAGCAATGGTTAGATCAGCAGCTTTTGGATGCACTTGTTTTGCATAAGTGCACCACATTATTTACAAAAGCTCATTCAAATAAAATTGCGTATACTTTTTCTGTGATTTCTTCAAACTTGGAATTAAAAACTTTATGACAATTCCGAAAATAAGTGTTTTTCGATTTGACAAAACTGAGAAAAATATATTTTTTTAAATCAATATTCACTGAAAAGTAAATTTTTTTAAAATCAATAATCACAATCAAAAGATTCGCTATTTTCAGAAAATTTTTTAAGTATAGCACTTTTTTACAGCCTAGCATTTCTTATCTTTCACTTGATATTCTAACAACTGATAAAACTTGGTTTTGTCAGTTTGCAAGTTAAACAGACAGCAATAGCCTTCAAGTGTCAACTCAGGCTGTTTTTACACTTCCAGCAAAGCAAATAAGAGTAGGTGGAACCAGTGTTATAAGCTTCGTGAATAAACCCAACACGTAAAGTTGCAAGCAATCGTTGTATTTAGATTTATTTAAGTATTTGTGCAATGAAGAATTTTCCATGCTAACAAGACGTTCAAATGGCCTTAGTTTGAAGGCATCTTTTTTTTTACCCAAAAAAAAACAGAGGACAAGCAGCTAGAAAAAAATCAACGGTGAGACTTTTCCGTTACATTTTTTTTGCACAGTAAAGTAAAACATATAGTTTTTAAGTCCGTTAAACTAATTCTATGTTTTTCTAGATTATTTTTGTATTTTTTCAACTCCTCGCAGACTTGCTGAAATTCGAGTCAGTAGAAGTGAAATTAATTTTGCAGATACATTTTACTCACACTTGGGTGGTAAATATTTAGCTAGAATATTTGTAGTTTTTTTTGAACTTTTCGATCGTTTATCAAAAACGTTTGGAATTAGTTTCTCAATCTCTTCTTAATCATCACAGAGTCAAAACCAAAAGAGTAATTCGGTCGGTTTTTATAAGTAGCAATGGTTAGATCAAGAGCCTCGCTATTTTTCTGCTTTACATGAAGGCACCACGTTGCATGTAAAAACCTATTAAAAAACTGCTCGTTACGACTTTGAGGTTATTCTTCTGATTGCCATTTCTTGAATTTGGAGATGAAAACTATCTGACGATTAAAAACAAATTATTTTTAATCTGACATTAGTTGAAAGTACTGAAAAAATCAAACTTTCTTTCAAAAGCCAATTTTTTATTGAACACACTTTTCTTATTCATTATTCGTTTTCTATTGTTATTCTACAGCCACTGGACCCTACTACCATTGTACCATCCCAATGAGTGCTGATGGTCAGAATCAGTTTTTTTTTATCACGCCAAAACACAATTCAAGTTCTTTAAAAAAATATATTTCTCGCAATAGTTAAACTAAACATGAAAAAAAATTGAAAAGTGATGGTTGAATGAATACTTGAAAGTAGTATAAAAAAATGAAGTTTTTTTTTGAAAGAAAATTGTGTGAAAATAGGTTTTTAAAAAAACCACATTGGGACATTGGGATCATAACTCAAAAAACAATCCCCCAAAACATCAGCGTTTTGCAGTTATATTGGATAATTTCTTCTGTGGGAGATCTCAGAAAAAGTTGGATCCCAAAATGAAAATCTGAGCATTTTTTTCGTTGATAGGCAATCGAAAAATAAAAATTTAAAATTTGGTGAGTACAGGTCGGTGCCAATATACTAATGTTTTAATTACGTCGGAGAGCACTGAAAAAAATTTGATGAAAATAATGAAAAACTGATAAAAAGTTGAAACCGTTTAAAATTTGAAAAACTTGACGTTTTTTAAAGTATTTTAAGGTCGTAAATACTACTATGTCGACCAAAAAAACTTAATCATTTTCATGTCTCTTTTCTCTGCTGAAAACCTACTGGGAAAAACTCTTAATCATTTTTAAAAAATGGTCTCCAGAAAACGATGTTTTTGTTACCCGTATCGAGAAGTTTTTTTTATTTTTGACCTGGAATAGTTTGTACCTAATATAGTTTTCTGGTCAGAAAATCTTTGTGAAATGTTTGAATAAAGCAAAGATTTTCTTTCAATTTTTTATTTCTGATCTTATTTCTGATCAGAAATTAGCTAAATCTAGGCCATTTGTAGCTAGAAAAAATTCGCCGACTGAGGCTCGAACTCCAACCTTAGATTGAATGCGGTCATTTTCTAACCCCTAGGCAACGTGACCTAAAAGTCAATAATAGTTTTAGCGATCTAACTCAAAGCAACACTTGTTATAACAAGTGTTAATTTGCATTGTATTGCTGCGGCTATTGTGTATACTCGAAGCATGTTTATCTGATTTCGGTTGAGCAGTGAACTGATTTCTGATTATTTCTTTCCAGAAATTGTTTATTTCCAAACTAAGAAAGAAATAGATCATTTCTCTACAAAAAATACAAAAAATTTGGCTAGGTAATCTATATAACATTTCTATCTAGAAAAACAGCCTTCGCTGGGTACGGGTAGGTTTTCTAAAACCGCGTTTCTGGTCCGCTGGATACATTCTTCCAGATAATCAAACTAGGCTTTCTGTGGCTAAGACAGCTTTGTCTGCAGCCATCTATAATACAGATCTCTTTTCAATCTAGTTTCACGTTACAAGCTTAAAAACAAAGAGGCCAGCTTATTGAACCAGACGTTACAGCTCTTTCATTCTTGTTTTACAGCAATCGTACAGAGAGTTATTTCTTTCAATTGTAAAACAGACATGTTTGAATAACACCTGAATAGTTTTTCTCTTTTTTCATATCTTTCTTACCAATTTGAACAAGGAATACATCATTGACACTGAAGGAAAAAATGAATTATTGGAAGTGTTTTTTCCTGTAGGTTAAGTTTTTTGGCGTTTTTCTTGCTTTTAAGTGTTAAATTTTAATTCAGAATTTCAAACATTAATTGTCACGATTACCGAGATCTCAAAAGTTGCATCGGAGGTGCTCGTTTGAGACTAGAAAAAAGGAACGTTGTTTGTCTTATAAGGATACCAAGATGACGGATAGCGAAAGCGATTCGCGTTCTGCGGTGAGAAACAGTCCCGACATGAGCCTCATAATAACCGTGGTTAATCCGAGGCAGCGAATCAAGAGGTCGTGTGAACAGGTGCTCTCGGATATAGCCGAAGTGTTCTCGTTTTGTAGCAGTGCCAAATCGGACTTAGCTTTCTTCCCCGAATTATACACCACTGGATATCAGATGAGCCGAGCCAAATTCGTAGAATACACGTAAGTGCGACAAGGGGTTTATTGGGTTCTTTTCGACTGACCGACCCTAAATTTTTCTAAAGGAGTTTTCTGTGCCAAAATATGTACTGATTTTGAGATGGGCCGAAAGTATTCGTTTTTTGGTAAACATTTTTCAAAAAGAACTTAAGAACGTAATGTTTGGCCTAAAAACGCGGCGCATAAAACTTGCTCAAAATATGGCTTTATCAGGGGCCGATTCAAAAGATTTAGTAATTAAATTAATTTTGAGGGGGGAGCGCGCCCCGAAAAAGAAAAAACGCAATTTTTCGGTCAAAATTTTTTTGGCCTGTTTTTTCAAAAATTTGCCTGCGGCGCTGAAAATTTTGTTAAATATGGTCGACCTAAAAAAAGTCGACAAAAGTTTTGAATTTTTTTTTTAAAAACCGCCCCCTCGAGATAATACTAGATCCGTCCCCTGGTCTTTATAGCAGGGGCGGGCGGATCTAGGATTTTTCAGTAGGGGCGTATTTTTAAAAAATTTTGAAAATTTTCTCGACCTTTTTTTGATTTTCCGAGTACTCCCAGAAAACTATAAAGACCCTATTTGGACCCTTTGTTTAAACACTATAAAGACCAAAGATTTCGCGCCGCAGGTAAATTTTTGAGAAAACAGGTCAAAAATGCTGTTTTTGGGCACTTCTTAGAAAATTTTGACCAAAAAATTAAGTTTTTTTGGCGCGCGCTCTCTTTCAAAATTAGTATATATTAGCGCCATAGGAGCGTTTAAAAAAGTTTAAGCTTGGTTGGCCTAAAATAGATGTGACAAAATATTAGCAAGGGGGACCCTTTGATTGGTGAGGGGGTCGAATCCTTGAGGGGGGGGGCAACGCTTTTTCTTCCCAAATCCGCCATTGTTTAATAGTGGTTTGAGAATTCTCAGCAAACCAATTTGGGCGATTTAAATAAAGTTTCAGATTTTTTTCTAAAATCCCCTCCGACCCCTCTACCGGCAACATCTTGCCAATGATATACTGCAGAAAAAAAGGGAAGCTTTTGAAAAATATGAATTAAAGTTTTATAAAGGAGATTTCAGTACCAATATACACTAATTTTGAGAGGAGACCGTGCGCTGAAAATACGCGGTTTTTTGGTAAACATTTAAAAAAAAACTCACTCAAAAACGATTCCTGCGCGAACTTGACCACTATGGACCGTCAGTAAAACTACAGTCTCCGTCCTATTATTTTAGATTTTCCTGGCAACATCAATTCTCTTCTCTAAGCCTTCATCGCGCTTAGCTTTTCTTAATAAATGGCTCGTATAGTGTCATTACTTTTAAATTACTTAATTACTTTTAAATTCGCTTAATGTTGAATTAAGACTCTAATTCAACCGTGCCCAGGCTCAGATATGACGTTTGACTGGGTTTGGATATTATTCATGGCAAGCATTTGTCTCACGTTAATTTTCACAAAACGCGGTAAAATCCTTTAATAATGTCATGATTTGTTGCGAACTAGTTAATAAAATTAACTTCTGTGAACAACTAGAAGACAATTTAAGACATAAGCAATCATCATCTTGTCGTAAATATTTGGCGATCACCTCAGTTGCAGGCACGTCCTCAGTTGTCGGCGCCCCCTCACTTGCAGGCACACCTCAGTTGCAGGCAACCTCAGTTGCAGGCACCCCCTCAGTTGCATGCACACCTCAGATGCAGGCACACCTCAGATGCAGGCACACCTCAGTCGCAGGCATGCCTCAGTCGCTGGTACACCTCAGTTGTAGACACCCCCTCAGTTGCAAGCCATCATCAGGGCCACTTCAGGACATCATCAGGGCCACTTCAGGGCATCATCAGGGCACCGCCAGGGCCACCAGTGCCACTTCAGGGCATCATCAGCCTGGTCTACGAGGACTGTCTTAGAAACGAGACAATTCAACTCAAATTAATGGATGGCTTATTGCCTCCGGTAAAGGTGAGTTTCGTGGTCGTCCTCGCGCGCGATTTATTGTCACCTTTTCTCGACAGCGGTATTATTCGCGCGCGAGGATGACTACGAAACTCTAATTTACCGGACGAAACAAAGCATCCAATAATTCTAAACGCAAAGTATCCAGTTGTGCGCATGATGATCGAGAGCGCTCATTGCCGCTGCATGCATCACGGCACTGAGTACATTTGCAATTACCTGCAACATAGTTTTGTCATCATTGAACTCCGAAAAACACTCAGACAGAAGAGACATAATTGCTTTCTTTGCAGAAGATTCTAAGGCAGAGGGTTACATCCACTCGCTGGCCGGCTTGCTGCCTGCTCGTTTCGACCATCCGTTTGATGATCCATTTCCGTTCAAAAATACAGGAACTGATTACATAAAGCAACAAAGGTTATATTTGCCTCTTCATATGGCTCTTTACTCGCTCGGTTCACATGGAATCCACTGAGAACCTTAGTACGAACAATTTCATAACGGCAAATAGACGCTTCATTGCTAGGAGAAGTAAACCTAAGCTTTTATTCTCTGACAACGCTACCTACTTCGTCGGCGCCCGTAAGCAACTACGCTCAGAACCAATTCACTTCAGCGAAACCTCCCTAAATGAAACGCTACAAATACACAATGTCGAATGGAGCCTAAATCCTCCTTGGCGGCGTGTGGGAGCGACTCGTCTCAATGATAAAATGAGCATTCTTTCTAAATCTCGTTTCCGATCTTCTATAAAGAGATCTATTTGCTACTACTATAGCCGAGACTGAGACAATCCTCAGCTCACGTCCGCTAACGCATGACAGTAGTAGTGACCTTGACAGCAACCTTCTACCGGCACCCAACCACTTCCTTATGGGCCGTCCATTCGTCTACGATCCAGCAACAGCCTTCTACGAAGAATCTACCAGTAAACTGTCCAACAAATCCTGGAAGCGAGCAACAGATAGACTTGACAGCTTCTAGAGGCATCTACTTAAAGAGCACGCTCCGACTCTCATCAATAGGACTAATGGACGCAACCTGAGGAACAACTCGAAAAAGATGACCTCACGTAGATACTTGAGGACTTTACACCACGAGGCATCTGGCCACTGGGTCGAGAGCTAGAAGTTTTTACCAGCTCGGATGGCATGGTGCGCTCGTGTAAACGGAAAACAGCCCTAGGTACTTTAACGAGACCAGAGGTGAAACTTGCCTTCGTATCACAAAAAGGGAGATTTGAGGCCATTTTAACTGAACTACAACAAAAAAAACTGGACTCAACTCCTTCCCCTTCTAAATAAGATCTCCCCTCCCCCGATGATGTTCATGACATGAATGTGACTCACATTAATTATCACAAAACGCGGTAAAATCTTTTATTGATAACATGATTTGTTGCGAACTAACTATTAGATTTGACTTCTATGAACAACTAAGAGACAATTTAAGACATAAGAAATCAACATCTTGTCTTAAATAGATATGTACTTGAGAGCTCCTGAAACGGAGACACATTACACACTTTTGCCTAGTGATTCTTAGTTTCTGTATCCCATTTTTTAAAGCATTCTTTCCCTCACAAATTTTTTTGCAGTCTCAGCTCAAATATCATAGCATGGAGCTCAAAACAGGAAGAAAAAAGTTCAACTTGTCCCTTTTTTGCAGAAAAATTATGTGGTTATAAAACAGCCATTTTGGTCAATTAGGATACGTAAAGTGTGATCGGTGAGCTGATCCGGGTCAAAAATGAGCAAAAATGAAATGAGGCGAACTATTTTTCTTTTTGACAAGTGATCTGTAGAGCTAAAACATGCTTTTGCTGTTCCGACGCTTGTGGTTCCGACTTTCTTTCGAAGAAAGGATGAGTTATTTGTGTTCGGGTGTAGTTTTTTTCTTCAGACAAATTCTATTTTTTAGTTTTCATTTTTAAACGAAAATTTTTTTCCATCTGAAAAAATTGTTGTCTTGATCTCAAACCTACAAAAATCTTTAACTGTGTTAATTTTTTTTAAAACAGTTATGGTGGTTTGAAAGTTGCCCTTCTGGCTAAGTTCAGACAATTGTGGGCCACTTTTTTGTTCAGTTAAAGCGTAGGCGGTCATTTTTATGTTTTGGTGAAATTAACAGAACAGCTGTGCTTAGTTGGTTTCTTTAATCCAAACAGTTCTTGTTTTTTCAACAAAAAAGTTTTGAAATTTTTTTTTCAACTGATTTCTATTGTTCTCCTGAGCTCAAATTGAAAAATTTATATATATAACTTGTGATTGTTTTTGTACAGTTATGGGGTATTGTGTTACACGGGCGAATACTACACGGATAAAAGGATAGTATCTTAATTGCTTACATAAACAAAACTCAATTGTAATTACCAAAATTGTGTCCCTAAAATGAGGTGCACTTATTTAATAAATCAGATATTGACTGAAATAATGTTTTGAGACTATAAAATGTTGCTTGAAAACAGACTACATTTTACATACTATTCCGAGTTATCTCGTTTTATCATTTTCCCTACATTCAAAGTGCGGTATGAAAGATTGTGTCGTTTTTAAGTTTGAATCAAACAAAGTTACACGTGCAAGCTAGAGTCATCAAGTCTGACTGATTTATTTGTTCTGATTCAAAAATTGGGACAATTAAGCGATGAGCACGGTCTTTTACCAAGCACAAAAAAGACTCTGATTTTTAAATCAGGTGCAAAAGGAACATTTCTTCTGAACAAAAAAAAACATTTTTTATTTGTAATCTTAGAAAAATCAGATGCTGATGAAAACGAATCCTGGTGAAAAAGAAGATAAGGGAAAGCAATAAAGCAAAAATAATAGTCAGGTGGAGGTAGGGTCAGATCTTTGAACAGACAAACAACCCGGCCTATTGTTTCGTTTGCTTCAGATATCACAAAATGAAAATTGAAACCTTCTAACTGAAAAAGAGAAATTTTTCTGATTTTTTTTACAAACAATGCTTTTCAATATTTTCGAGTTTAAAAAACTTCAAAAAAATAAATAACCTCAAAGATAACACCAAGAATAGAAGGAAATAGGCAAGGCAATAAAACTCAACTGGATTGAAAACAAACAAAACTGCTCGTATCAGGGCGAAGCCCTGAATGTTCCGACTGCCCATTAAGGTTTATGGAGCAGTAATATCATTAAAAAATAAAAGTAATAAAACAAAATGAATTTTTTTTTTCAAAAATTTGAAATTTTTTATAAAAACCATCACCCCACACGCCATATAAAGTACAAAAGGATAGATTTCGCTACTTGTAGCAAATCAATTATGGCAAATAAGCTTCTTTTGACCAATTTGGAACGATTTCTAAGACGGATTAACTCTCCGCTTACGCGTTAATAGCGCGAAATATATCGCGCGTTAATTGTCCCAAATTGGCCAAAATGGCAATATTTAAACCCCCATAACTTTACGAAAAATGATCACAGGTGAAATATCTTTTCAAATTTGAGCTCAGGACAACAATACCTTTCGAATGATATAAAAAAATTTAGTCAAAAATGGCTAGTTAAAAAGTCGAAAAAAACCCACCCCGAGCACAAATATTCCGTTACTTTCGTATCGAAAGTCGGAACAAATATTCCGTTACTTTCGTATCGAAAGTCGGAACAATTAGACAATTCAAGACGAGAATTCTAGCAAAATTTACCAGGCGGAAATAAGGACAAATCAGGCAGTGTAGTTAGTAAAACAAAATATTGAAAAAGTAAAATTAGCAAACTTCCCACCCCATTAAAATTTTGTTAAGTCTTGATTAGTTGTTCAACTCATCTAGTATTTAAAGTTTTCTCAAGCCTATTTAACAGTTTATTTTTAATCCATCAATTTTGTAATTAATTGATATGTGGTTAACCTTAAAGTATTTAACTACAACTCGGATCGATAAGAATTTAAGGAAAAAAGGTGAAATTTATATTATTTAATATAATTTTTCTGATTGTTTTTTCTCAACGAATTTTTCTTCATGGAATTAAAAAGGCAGTCGAGAGTTTCAGGGCTTCGACCTGTTAAAAGCAATCTTGTTTAATCCGGTTTAGATATTGTTTCAATTTGATTTGAGGCGGTATTTGTAATTTTTCAATCATTGCTAGACAACGATTATTCATTTCAGTGCTAGACCATAATTTTTTCCGAGTCGTAGTCTAAAAAATGCAAATAGTTTTTTGAAGTATTTCACAGTTTTGAACTTTCATAAAATATGAATTAATACTTAGAACTCAACTGTCAGTCAGAACTCAGTGCTTTGCTGCATTCAATCAAAAAACAAATTCGGATTTAAGCTTACCTTTTGTGAACGGGTCTTTTAAAACCATCTGAAAGCTAAGCAAGCCCTAATCTCAAGTTTCTGAACTTATTTTTTACCTGTAATCATCAGTTAATTACCTGCTTATAATTAATACGCTACTAGACACTCTGGACATCATTTTGCGCTCTGCATTATGTGAGGGGAAGTTTGAAAAATCGAGAAAAAAATCTGTTTTGATTTTTTTCATATTTTTCTTTTTTTTTCTTATCGATGTCTTCGACAATTACTTCAGCCTTCAAAGGGCAGTCGGAACATTCAGTGGTTCGCCCTGATACGAGCAATCTCGTTGTTTTTAGAATTCTGTACGAGAAAGAGAAACTGAACGAGAGGATAGCGGATTTAGCCGACAGATTCAAAGTGGCCATTCTGTACGGCTACGGAGAGTACGACTCACAATCTGAAAAGGTACAGGATAAAACAATTAATCTGTTGCTGCTGCAACTGCCAAGAATAACTTCACTCTCATATCAAAAGTTCTGCTCTTGAAAAACTATGATATATTATTACCTTGAACTAGTAATAGAAAATATATAAACTAGTCATAAAAAGCATTTGATGCTCCCCTTAATCCACCCCTGGGGTGATTTATAACTGCGAAATTAATGCAAATAGCATGACGTCTTGCAGTTTTAGCTTATCGTCGCAAATAGGAAAATCATGAATAGTTTCGTTGTTCGAACAGGTGTCTAACTGTGCCCGTTTCTACGACCCGAAAACTAAGTTGGACTTCGTGCACTCTCGGGACGACTACTCGACTTCTAATTCGGTGTTCAATAGAGGAAAGAAACAGCCCCCCATGTTCACGTGGAAACACGGAGCCACTGTCGCATTTGGTATGAGGATAAACATGAGTGGATATAGGGGGAAAACATAAACATTTTTTTTAGAACAAAATCAATGCTTTTGAAAATTAGGTCTGAACCTTCACATGGAGCTCTAGTGTTCTAGAAACCTAACATTTCGTAAAGTAAAATGCAAGTCAACCATAAATTAGTTCTGAAATCAATGAAAAAAAAATTAACTCCTATGAAAAAAGCAGATTTTACTATCAATTTAGGAATCTGTCTGGAGACTAGTAAATTGGACGAGGTGTGTGATCAGTTCCGAGGCAGAGGAGGGGGAGGGGGAGGGGTGGATTTGTTGTTCTCCCTGTCTACCCGGTCCAACACCCTCCTGCCCCAGCCCAGATTCCTCCCCCACCCCACACATTCCATGTTCTTCCTGCACAACTACTACAACGAACAGGGTAAGGGGAGGGGCATCAAAAAAGGCGAATGCTTGCTTGACAGAAAAAAATAAAGTTTCTTTCGACATGCGGAGTTAAAATATATATTTTACAAGTGTTCCGTCATTTTGTGTTTCACCTCCAATATATTTCTGAAATTTTCAGCTCCAATTGAAGGTACGTTTCTCTTTGTATCAAGTTGCATGCCACAAGCATATATAAAAAAAAACAAAAACCTACCACCTTTCATTTTGATGACGCCTTAGAATAAATTTTACAACAACCACTTTGAAAATTCTGGGCCGCATGTGCTTTCCAAGCCCAGAAAAACAATGGTGATCTCAAACAAAGGTGTTTGGGTTCTTTTTGCAAGGTTTTCAAAAAATGAGATTTTCGGCACTGGCTTCTATTTCAAATATAATGTATTTTGGCGCCGAATGCGCCTTTAAAAGATTTTAAGGGTCGGTCGACCAAAAATGCATATAAAAAATAAAACCAAAGGGAGGTCTGTTATGTGGTCATGGGCCGAGTCCTTCCTTCGCCCACATCCTTCCAAGTTACGCACCTCGTTTTTGCTACTTTTTTAAATCTTCTCTATCGACGTGAGTTTTTTTAAGGTGCCGATAAATGTCTGACGGCGGAAGTGAACTTGATGAAGTTAGCTCGGTTCAAAAGGAACGACCTAGACATAGAGAGAAAGCCTACAAAGATGTCGGCCTCTGTGAAGTTCATGCCAGGACTCAAGAACCCACCGGAGAACAAAAAGCAAAGCAAGAAACCTAAGAAAAGAAAAACCACATGGAATTTCTGATAAATTAGAAAGAAATATCGACTATTTATGTCTTTGCTGCAAATAAAGTGTACCAGTTTTTTTCTTGTAATGACGAAAAAAAGTCATTAGTTTCCACCGTGCTCGAGGTGTTTTCAATCATGCTCGAGGTATGTTTTGAGTGTGCTCGATGTGTTTCGACCGTGCATGATCGAGTTTGTGTATGTTTTCACTGCTCCAGATTTGTTGCGACCGTGCTCGAGGTATTTGCGGGTGTGCTCGAATTATATTTGAATATGTTTTGTACAAGCGACAATGCGAAACGGGTGCAAATCGCATCGGTAAATTAGGCGGCGAAAACTATTCCTTAAAAACTATTTTAAGAGAAGTGGCGCAAGCGTTCGCTACTTTCTTATTTTTCTGCAGAATTCGAACCTGAACGAACACTTTTATCTCCAATGCTCACTTTATTGATCAATACGCGCCTCTTCGTTAAATCCCAACGTTAAATCAACGTTAAGAGTGGCAAGAAAAAAAGTAAGGCAGTAGGCTTTAGGAAAAAAGCGTGATTTTTTATAAACCACGATTGGTTTCAGGATAATGTGATATCGAGCAAGACAACAAAGTAATTAACGTAAATTTAAAATATGATTACTTGATTTTGTACAAATAAAAAAGCAATAAAAACAAAACTGAATTATATATGCGCTTATACTTTGCTCATTTAAGTCACAAATAACTCAAACTTTTAGTCAAACACGCTGACTCTGCTGTTTAATATACTGGTAGACAGGGGCGGATTTAGGGGGGGGGGGGGCTCTCGTTTTCCCCTTCAGGGATTCGACTCCCTGTCGACACAAAGGGTTTCCCTTTGGTACTTATTCAGAAATTCATTTTTGGGCGACGGGCCCTAAAATTTTTCTAAAGGCGTTTTTGGCGCCAATATATACTAACTTTGAGGTGGAGCGCGCGCCAAAAAAAACGCAATTTTTTTTTGTCAACATTTTCCAAAAAGTGCCCAAAAACGGCTTTTTTGACCTATTTTTTCAAAAATTTGCCTGCGGAAATTTTTTGAAAACCCCCCCCCCCCCCTCGAGAAAATCCTAAATCCGCCCCTGCTGGTAGAAACGATTAACTATACAGTCCCGCATTGGAGTTCCATGAATATAAATAGATAATAATTGAGTTTTCTTGTCAATGTCCACAAAAGTGAAAACAAATCAATTATCATCAATTAAAAATGGATTATATAATTACTGTTTTTCGAGGCAACGAAATCGTTTTTCATTCCATTATAATCGATTTACTTTCACTTTTGTGGACACTGACAATGAAACTAAATTATAATCGATTTTTTTCCACTTTACTGAGATGCGAATTTCAATGCATATAAAGTCTTTTGTACGTTTCATATTAAAGTTGGTTACGTTGGTTACTTGTTGTTCAATTGAATTTTTTTCTAGCTAACTTTGATATTTTTGTTACTTTTTATATTACTCAACATTTCCCCCTTAGCGTTTGAACATTTACAACAACAAACTCCCCTCCCCCAACGTAACGTGTTCAGGTGGGGGGGATGCAGTGGGGGGAGGGGAGCAAAGGGCAAACGTTTGGGGGGTTGAAGGGCAGCAAAGGGGCGAACGTTGGGCGGGGGGGGGGGTTATGTTGGCTCAAGTGGGGGGGGGGGGTCAGTGGGGGGGGGGGGGGTCAGTGGGGGGGGGGGTCAGTGGGGGTGGGGGAGGGGAGCAAAGGGGCAATCATTAGGGCGATTGAAGGGGAGCAAAGGGGCAAACGTTTTAGAGCTCAACGGAATCTTTTTGCAATTTGAGTTAGGGTTTTGAAATGGATTAGGCCGTACACTCGCTTTGCAAATTTTACGCATCACTCACTTGATAAATGCTGAAAATCTTGCAAAATTTTGCACGACGCGCGAAACAAAACAAAAGTGGAAAAAAGATCCATTTTAATGTGATTTCCTACTTATCATAAAAAACATTGTAACGGATTCAAAATGAATTATAATGCATTTTGTTTTGGCGAGAAAAAATGGATTTAAATCCATTTTTAGTCCAATTTTGTTGTCTAAAGGTAACATGAGAATCGATTATATTTACAACATTATAGACCACGAAAATCCATTGCAATCGATTTATTTTCATTTTTCTGAAGTGCGGAGTACTTTTGAAGACTTTTCATGTGTTTAAGCATTAGTGTTCCGACTTTCGAAGAAAATTATGGAATAGTTGCGCTGGGCTGTTTTTTTTTCTCTAGACAAATTACTAACTGGTAGTTTTTGACGGAGTTTTTACTATATCATTCGAAAAGTATTGCTGTCCTGAGCTCAAATTTAAAAAATTATTTCAGTTGTGATTATTTTTTGTAAAGTTATGGGGGTTTAAAGATTGCCAAATTGGTCAATTTGAGAAAAATATCGCGCGATATATTTCAAGCTATTAATGCGTGAGCGGAGATTTAATCCGTCTAAGAAGTCGTTCCAAATTGAATTGAGGCAAGCTAATTGGTCTTACTGTTCCGACTGTCGACGATTTTCGAAGAAAGTGAGGAGTAAATATGCTCGGGGTGGTTTTTTCCGAACAGTTTTAAAAAACTCTGATCCCTCGGGGTAGCCTGCCATGAGTATGTCTAAAACTGCTTATTTTATTATCTCGCACAACAAAATCTTTCCTACTTGAATTTGTGCAGTTAATTGGTTTTTTTGTAAGTCAAATTATACACGACTCAAGTTGCAACATTTATTTTTTGATAAAATCAGCTTAAAACTCATTGTTTTGCCAAAATTCACGTTTACCAAAAACTATTAGAGACCAAATAAAGGGCAGTCGGATCAACCAAGGTTTTACCCTGATACGAGCATAGCCTGGTTAATGCCATACACGACTCAAATCTAAACACTTAAGAAAAATATAATTAGACTAAGCTTCAGAGTTTGTCAATATTTCATTTAGTAAAAACTATTCGAGACCAATTAAAGGGCAGTCTGAACATTCAAGGCTTTTCCCTGATACGAGCAGTCTTGTTAGTGTATTTGATTCTTTGCTATCTGCAGAATAAATCATTGTGTTCTTTACATAAGGTGAAGGGGGATGATTATCAAAAATAAAATAACAAAAATTTTGATATTTTTATATTGAAATTTCAGCTTTGTTCAATTTAAACTCTGCTCCGTCGACCTTAGAAAGCAGTCGGAACATTCAGGGCTTCGATTTGATACGAGCAGTCTTGTTTTTTTTACTGATTTATTAAAGGGGTGTGAAAACTAGGCGATATCAACCATTTAGCGCTTAAAGTTTCGTGAACTATTCTGGTTTCTAAGAAAGTGCGAAAAATTTATGCTTGGAGTGGTTTTTTTTTCAGTCAATTTTTGACTTTTTAGCCTAAAATTTTTGACGGAAGTTTTTTAAGATGTAAAATTTTATAGTGTTTTGAGCTCAAATTCAAAAAGATATTTTACTTGTGATCATTTTTTGTAAGACTATAGGGGTTTGAAATTTGCTAATTTGTCCAATATGAAATAATTAGCGCACATTTTTTTGCGTTTTTTCTAAGACGCTTAAACGGTTTGATAATGCATTGCAAACTTATGTGAATCAAGTTATTTGAAAGCAATAATAGGATACAAGACGTTAAGCACATTCCTATGTAGTTTGCAATAGCGTGAGAAGGAGGATTGGAAAAAAATGAAAAAAATACTTTGTTTTTAGATTAATGCTTTAGTTTTCAACCATCAAACTTTTAAAATGGCCTTAAAGTGCAGTCGGGACGTTCAAGGATTCGCTCTTATATACGAACAGTCTTATTTTTGTGAAAGTTCGGACGTGGAAATTAATTTTTGTTTTAACGTATCAAAAAATTGATTTTCATTTTAACGGTAGCAAAAGTTAACGTTTTAGCGTAGGTTAACAATGCTAAAGAAATCTACTTTGGAACAATTTTGAATTAAATTCTTCATCGGTTTTCATTTTTTAGTTTGTTTTAAGTACCAACGGTTTTTCGAGCCAGGTTTTATGAGTCTTTGAAAAGCTTAATTTATGCTAGGTATACTTTAATTAGAGCAAACTAGCGTTAGCGTCAATTAATGACTCATCCTCAAAAATTAACTTTTGCCGACTGGAAGCGCAACAGGGCAAGTTTTCACAGACAGTTTTCTGCTTTCGAGAACAACGACCTTGTATAACAATAGTTAATTTCACCTGAGATGTGCAAATTTTGTCAAGTAATTAATCTCGGGATCATTTAAGTGCGTACTGAGTTGGTTCCAATTATACTGGGTTGGTTTCAGTTATACGACCCAAAAAGCATTCTTTCAGCAATTTTCAGCGCTTGATCAAGATGTTCGAATCTGATGGGTTGAAGTTTGAATCAGCGATAAAAAATCTAAGCGTGTTCAATGAAAACAGAAGCTCAATTAACAATTTGATGTTTCAGTCCATATAAAAAACCCGCTGAGTTTTTCTTCAATAGTGTTTTGATGTCAATTCTTAGAAGAATGATGACAGTCATTCATATATAAAAATACGTGTGTTTTAAAACAAACAAATATGACCATTTTGGTATAATGGTAGCTAGAAAACTCAAGATTTAAAGCAAGCTTACTCGAGTCTTAAAGCTTTAAAGCAAGCTTACAATAAGTCGAGAAATCTATCACACTGCACTTACCAATACACTCGTTTCTAGTGGATTCTCTAAATAAGATCTGAAGTTTTTCATTTCTCACATAAACTCAAAAATAACCCATTCACAAAATCTCCAGGCGTTATTTTAACATTTCACAACCTGTTTTAGATCTGAAAAATATCACTTCAGTACTGAAATAGAACAATGACTAGATACGGGCATGTCGGGAAGGCTTATCGATAAAAAACACAAAACCGGACTAAAATATTTCACACATTTTTTTTTCAAACGTTTGATAGGGAAATCGGAACACCCACAACTATGTCATGATGCGAGAAGTCCTGTTTAGACTTTTGAAACCTGCATGTTCTAGCTCAAAATCTTTGTTTGGTTCGTGCATGGCACAACTTGACCTAACCCTAAGTTAGACCCAGCTATGTTTTTTCCTGATAAG